GAGTGTGTTACACTGTAGGGTGTGGGTATGTTAGTGTTTGTGGGGGTATGGGATATATTTGCAGGTGTTTTGCTGCAGCAAGCGATTTGAGTAAACCTTTCTGTTTCTGTTCTAGTGATGGAGAAGCCTGCAGAGAAGGGGCCCTGTTACCTCCTGGTCAATTCCGATGAGGGCTGTACATATCCTCTGCGGGGTGAGCTGACCAAACAGCTGTGTTGCTGCACAGTCGGCAAGGCATGGGGCTCAAACTGTGACCCCTGCCCTAACCCCGGAGCAGGTAAGTGATTCCCCGAGGGAGGGGTGGGGGCTGTTTACTCACTCTGGTCCCACCAAACAGCAAATGTCTGGGAGAATTAACCACAGCGCCATTCAGCAAACAAGACTCACTTTTACACAGTGTCATTGACCACAATACACCATTCCAATTTGCTCCATGCTTTCAGATACATCGACAAGTGTTGTAGTACAGGGAACACAGCAACTAATAAGTGTGCAGTCAGCTTCCACAGACAGCAATGTGATAATGTCCAATCTTTTGGAGGATGGGTTCGGGGTGAATGTTGGCCTTTGGTTGGCACTGCTGGCACAGTGCAAAGGTCACTGGACTATTCGTCCAGAAGCTCAGTAATGTTCGAAAGGGGGCACGGGTTCGCAGTCCCACCGGGGTCATGGTGAGATTTCAACTTAATAAAGTCGATTGTTGTAAAGACCTGTCTGGTTCACTTAGGGTCATAGAGCTGTACGGCACGGAAACAGACCCTTCGGTCCAACTCATCCATGCTAAATTAATCTAGTCCCATTTGCCAGCATTGGGCCCATATCCCTCTAAACCCTTCCTATTCATCTACCCATCCAGAAGCCTTTTAAATGTTATAATTGTACCAGCCCCCACCACTTCCTCTGGCAGCTCGTTCCATACACGCACCACCCTCTGCGTGAAAAAGTTGCCCCTCAGGTCCCTTTTAAATCTTTCCCCCTCTCACCTTAAACCTATGCCCCTCTAGTTTTGGACACCCCTACCCTGGGGAAAAGACCTTGGCTATTTACCCTATCCATGCCCCTCAAGATTTGATAAACCTCTATAAGGTCACCCCTCAGCCCCTGATGCTCCAGGGAAAATAGCCCCAGCCTATTCAGCCTCTCCCTGTAGCTCAAACCCTCCAACCCTGGCAACATTCTTGTAAATCTTTTCTGAACCCTTTTAAGTTTAGCAGCGTCTTGGCTATAGCAGGGAGACCAGAATTGAATCCAGCATTCCAAACATGGTCTCACCAATGTCCTGTACAGCCCATACTTTAGTGAAGGAAATCTGCTGGCCTTACCTAGTCTGATCTACACGTAACTCCAGACCCCATGCTGATGTGGTTGGCTCTTGCCCGGCCTCTGCAAGCGAGCCACTCCATTCAAGGGGCCGGGAGGGATGGGCAACAAATGCTAGGACTTTCCAGCGACATCCCATCCCATGGAAAGATGAGGTAAAATAAAGGAAAAGCAGCAGGGGTGGGCCATTCAACCCATCAAGTCTGCTCCTCTTCCATTCAATAAATAGACGATCAAAGCTCTACCTCAACGCTGCTCCCTTGCCCTATCCCATGCTCCTAGATTCCCCGGTGATCTCAGTATTGAATATACTCAGCAATTACAATCTGGGACAGAGAATTTCCATGATTGATAACCCTGTGAGGAAATTACTCCTCACCCCAGGTTGAGATTTCACCTCTTCTGCAGCAAGCTATTTGGAAGGCAAAATGCCTGTTTGCATTTATCACACAGGGACTACAGAACAGGACTAAAGAGACTCTGCTTTAGTTATATAGAACACTGGTGAGACCCCACCCTGGAGTATTGTATGTGGTTCACCCCATAGCCCTGTATCAATCCCCAAACTAATCCCACTGCCCCGCTCGTTCCCCATAGCCCTGTATCAATCCCCAAACTAATCCCACTGCCCCACTGTCTCCCCATAGCCCTGTACCAATCCCAGACTAACCCCACTGTCCCATTCTCTCCCCATAGCCCTGTACCAATCCCAGAATAACCCCACTGCCCCGCTCTCTCCCCATGGTCCTGTATCAATCCCCAAACTAATCCCACCGCCCCGCTCTCTCCCCTGTATCAATCCCCAAACTAACCCCACTACCCCACTGTATCAATCCTAAACTCACCCCACAGTTCCATTCTCTCCCCATAGCCCTGTATCAATCCCAGACTCACCCCACTGCCCCGCGCTCTCCCCATAGCCCTGTATCAATCCCAGACTAACCCCACTGCCCCACTCTCCCTCCTGGCCCTGTATCAATCCCAGTGAGGCAATGGGATTTTCTACCCATTCACCTTGGAAAGAGAGAGCCAGACTTGCAATCCTAACAAACTGATCTCACTTTCATTTTAATAGGGACGGTGTGTCCGTCCTTGCTTTTAATCTTTGTATCTGTATTTTAGCTCATCACGTTTTACTTAGTAACTTGCAGCAACCTTTGTGTAAAAATCTAGCCTTTCCATTGCTTAAAGCGTAAATCTCTGCTTCAAACTGAAATATTCAGAAGCAATGAAGGGGCTAAAGAACTGATTACAATTCACAGGTCACTCTGCATAGTCACTTGGCATGATCGTGACACAAACTATTTCCACTGCTCACTCCCTCTCTCTCCCCTTCTCTCTTGCTCACGCTTCAAAATGTTTAGTTAAAGTTCCCTTGCCCCACTCGCTTCCAAAACATCCCACCCACTTTCTGCGGGATAGGGCCTGCATTGGGCGGGGTCTGTTTCGTTGCTTGCTGCCTGGTGAATCCTTAACCTTTTTTTTCTTTGTCCGTTGAAGCGGAATTCCAGGAGACGTGCCCAGCCGGAATGGGTTACCATTTCTCCAGCTCCCACCAGAAGATTAGCATCCCACCTGGCAGCAACATCCTGCTCCGAATCGATCCCGACGGCAAGGCTCGGATTGTCCAATTGCCGGTCACTATGCCCCCTCCGGTAACTCCGGAGGCAGATCCCAGGAATAACGTCGAGGGTTCGTAAGAGCTGTAATCGTTTTGCTGAATGAGAGCTTTCCTTCCACGCGACACTGACTGTTCGGTCTCTGGAGCTCAACCTCCAGTGGCACGGGTTGGCACTGCTGCCTCACAGCGTCAGGAACCCGGGTTCGATTCCCGTCTGTGTGGGGTTTGCATATTCTCCCCGTGTCAGTGTGGGGTTTCCTCCGGGTGCTCCAGTTTCCTCCCACGGTCCAAAGATGTGCAGGTTAGGGTGGGTTGGCCGTGCTAAATTGTCCCATAGTGCCCAGGGATGTGCAGGTTAGGGTGGATTGGCCGTGTTAAATTGCCCCATAGTGCCCAGGGATGTGCAGGTTAGGGTGGATTAGCCGTGCTAAATTGTCCCATAGTGCCCAGGGATGTGCAGGTTAGGGTGGATTGTCCGTGCTAAATTGCCCCATAGTGCCCAGGGATGTGCGGGTTAGGGTGGGTTGGCCGTGCTAAATTGTCCCATAGTACCCAGGGATGTGCGGGTTAGGGTGGGTTGGCCATGCTAAATTGCCCCGTGTTGCCCAGGGATGTGTAGGCTAGGTGGGTAGCCATGGGAAATGCAGGGATAGAGTGGGGCTGGGTGGGATAGTTTTGGGAGGATCGGTGTGGACTGAATGGCCTGATTCCACACTGTAGGGATTCTATGTATCTTGCCTCACTGTAACAGTAATACAAGACACACCGATTTCAGTATGGGCAGGTTGCAGTGTTAGCTTTAATTCAGGAATCAGTGAGATGGGATCCAAGTTTGCCTATCTGTGCCTCACCTTAAATTCCAACGTGAGATGAGTTTGGAGTGTTGAGTGGTGTGTTCTTTCAGAATGGGTACACCAAGGGCAGGGGATAGTACCATAAAGATAACAGCCATCTCACTCTCACTTACTTATCACAAAGGGCTGTAATCTCCATTAGTGTCCTGTTCACAGGCTGCTGTCAGGAAATCTGGGTACACCAGGAGAGGACAGGATGGGAATGCCTGTGCTTTGCTTGGGACAACAGAATGTAGCTGTGGTGCCCTCACACACTGCAGAATGGGACAGGCTGATGTATCTGTGATTCCCTGTGTATAGTGATAGCATTATATAAACTGTGCCTGTCTGTTGTCTATCGTTACTTTCCCTGTCGCTATACTGAAGGAACTCTGTCTCTAGTCAGTAGTAACGGTGTCTGCCTTTAGCCTGTAGTACCCATGCCTGTCTTTAGCCTGTAGGAACCATGTCTGTCTGTAGTCTGCAGTAACTGTATCTGTCTCTAGCCTGTAGTAACTGTGCCTGTCTCTAGCCTGTAGTAATTGTGCCTGTCTCTACCCTGTAGTAATTGTACCTGTCTGTAGCCTGTAGTAATTGTGCCTGTCTCTAGCCTGTAGTAACTGTGCCCTGTCTCAAGACTGTAGTAACTGTGCCTTGTCGGTAGCTTGTAGTAACTGTGCCCTGTGTCTAGCCTGTAGTAACTGTGCCCTGTGTCTAGCCTGTAGTAACTGTGCCTTGTCGGTAGCCTGTACTAACTGTGCCCTGTCTCTAGCCTGTGGTAACTGTGCCCTGTCACTAGCCTGTAGTAACTGTGCCTGTCTCTAGCCTGTAGTAACCACATCTGTCTTTTATCTGTAATAACTGTGTCTGTCTCTAGCCTGTAGTAACTGTGTCCTGTCTGTAGCCTGTAGTAACTGTGCCCTGTCTCTAGCCTGTAGTAACTGTGCCTGTCTGTAGCCTGTAGTAACTGTGCCCTATCTCTAGCCTGTAGTAACTGCGCCGTCTCTAGCCTGTAGTAACTGTGCCCTGTCTCTAGCCTGTAGTAACTGTGCCCTGTCTCTAGCCTGTAGTAACTGCGCCGTCTGTAGCCTGTAGTAACTGTGCCCTGTCTCTAGCCTGTAGTAACAGTGCGTTGTCTCTAGCTTGTAGTAACTGCGCCGTCTCGAGCCTGTAGTAACTGTGCCCTGTCTCTAGCCTGTAGTAACTGTGCGTTGTCTGTAGCCTGTAGTAACTGTGCCCTGTCTCTAGTCTGTAGTAACTGTGCCGTCTGTAGCCTGTAGTAACTGTGCCCTGTCTCTAGCCTGTAGTAACTGCGCCCTGTCTCTAGCCTGTAGTAACTGTGCCGTCTGTAGCCTGTAGTAACTGCGCCCTGTCTCTAGCCTGTAGTAACTGCGCCGTCTGTACCCTGTAGTAACTGTGCCTTGTCTCTACCCTGTAGTAACTGTGCGTTGTCTCTAGCCTGTAGTAACTGTGCCGTC